CGGAGGGGCCCGGCTGAGCGATCGCCGGCCCGGCCTTCATATCGCCGCCGCAATCAGGGGGCGGCTTGCCGAGCCGAGCTTGCCATGCCGTGCCCCACGCCATTTTTGCATCCGCGAGGCGAAGCGAGGCGAAGCGAAGCGAAGCGCCAAGGCAGCCGTGTTTCCCGGCCGGAAGACACCGAAACAAGTTTAGCACAACATCCAGGGCGGGCAGCACACACGCCAGGGAGGGACGTCGGCACACTGTCAGGCCTAATGTGGACACCACCACACACTCAAAAAGTCTCCGTCAATTTCAAAAGTGAGCGGCGTCTCGGCCTCGGCCCGGGGCACGCTGGCGCCAGACTTTGGCGCTGTCGGCACACAGATTCCGAGAGGCGTTTCCGTCGCTCTGTCTCTCTCGCACCCTTACGGAACGCCTCGTGAGTGCGAGAGAGACAGAGCGACGAGCACGAACCTCGGAATCGGTCCAGCAAGCAGACACAAGGGGCGTCGGAGCCTTATTTCCGCACCGCCAAAAAACCCGGCGCATTCCGCGAGAGTCGCTCTCGTCGCTCCGTCTCTCCCGCACCTTTACGGGACGCGCCCTTGGCGTGGTGAACCTGAGCGAGCTCCTGCCTCGCGCGGGGCGCTGCACAATGAAAAGGTTCCTGGTTTCCCCCTCGGCACCCCTGGGAAAAGCCCTTTCCGGCGCCTCGGCCCACCGTGTAACCTTGAAGGGGGAGAAATTTTCCCCCCCGGCGAAATTTAATTCCCCCCGCGCTGCGGGCCCCGCCCCGAGGCCAGTGGGGGGTGGGGAGGGCCCCGGAGGGGCGCCGGCGGGGATCCGCCATTGGCCATCGCACTTCCGCTTGGGGTCGCCGCTCTCTCTGTCTCTCTCGCACCTCTCGCCCCGGGACGCCCCTCGAGTGCGAGCGAGACGAGCGGCGGAAACGGCGGCTACCTGTCTCCCCTGCCCCCGGAGAGGCGCCGGCGGGGCGATCCCCCCACCTTCATATCGCTAATCAGGGGGCTTTTGTACGATCCGTGCCCCACGCCATTTTGCATCCGCGGGGTGGGAACAAAAATTGACCCGCCAAAGCCTTTGTTTCCCCGGGCCCAAGAACCGTAACAATTTACAAAACCCCGGGTGCGGGCAGCACAAAACGATCAGGAACGTTTTTGCAATATTCACAATGGGGATACCAGTACCATGTAAAAATCCCCGTCAATTTCAAATGAGGGGGGTCTGGTCGGCCCGGGGCACGCTCGTCAGACATATCGCTGTGGCACACAATTCCGAAGGCGTTTAAAGCCCGCTCTGTCTTCTCGCACCTTAGGGGGAACGCCTCGTGGGGTGGAAAAAAGCTCGGGCCGGGGAAAACCCTCGGAACTGCCCGCGCCGCAGGGCTGGGGTTTTCCCACCACTACCCGGGCATGCAGAGTGCCCGTCGGTGTCTCCCCCGCACCTCTGCGGCGGCCTCTCCAACGGGGGCTGTGGCGCAACCCCGGTTGTTGTGGCTTTGCTCGGCGGCCCGGCAGCCGGGCTTCGGTCCAGCAGAACCTTGTTGGTTTCTCGGGTACTCCCGGCGTACAGGCTGCGACGGCAGCCATTTGTGTGGGAAACGAACGGCGGGCGCCGGTTCAAATTGCCTTAAACCCCGACAGCGCTTTGAGTTGGTGCTCGCTTCTGTCCTCGGCAACATTCCCCGGAAACCCCCGTGATACAAAGACAGTGCAAACAAAAGCTGAAACCAGTCTGTGCGTGGGAATTAGCGCCGTTCAAAAGAGAAGAGCCCCAAGCCCCACAGGGCCCGTGGGACTGTCTCCGGGAAAACAGGGGCGGGCATGGAGTGGGGCCTCGTCGGCGGGGTGGTCGGCCGGACGCACCGAGGGCCAGAAGAAAGGTGAAGGCGGCCAAAATTCTAGACGCGTTTTGAGCTCCAAGCGAACTTGTGACCCCACCACTGGATTCCTCGTCCAGAGAGCAATCCATCGGTCACACGTTCGGTTCGAGACCCATACAGCGACTCTGGAGCTCAAGACGCGTCTTAGGCTGCCTGCACCGGTCTTCCGGCCCACTGTGGGACGGCGGACGGCCAAGCCGCGGCCGTGCCGATACCGCTTCATAACGCCGGAATAAAGGGAATTGACCGCCGCGGCCGCCGCGCTAAGCCCACGGTGCGGACACGGGTAGGTGGCCGCCTGCAGCCGCTTTGACGCCCACCAACACAACACACATACATGCACGCACAGAGAGTCACACACACACACAGTGCCTCACACACACAAACACAGGGCACACAGATTGGGCTGGGGGGACAGAGGCCGGTAAGCCGTCTGAGCCCTGCTGCCCCGCCCTGCCCCCGCCCCGCCTCCGCCCCGCCCCCTCGCCGCACTGCAGCACAGGGAGGCGACTCCCCGCGGCTCCGCGACGCGTCGACGCGTCCATGTCGGCCGTGGTCGCGGTGCGCGTACCCATTCCGTCCACTTCCGCGGCGCCGCGCCGCCGATCCAAGTACGCGCCGTGTACACTGTAAGGCTTCGCGCTTTAAAACGGCGCGCGCCGCGAGAGATGGGACTTAGACACGTGAAGCCTCGGCCACGGCCACCCTCATTACCCCGTCCTTTGTGGAACTACAAGTAGAGCACATACTAATGCGGCACAACTTTCTACTCCCGCCCTAACTCCTAACTCCACGCCCCGCCACGCCCCGCCACGCCACGCCCCGCCACGCCCCGCCACGCCCCGCCACGCCCCGCCACGCCCCGCCCCCGCCGCGCCCCCCGGGGTCCCGCCACGCCCCCCCGCCACGCCGCCTACGCCTCCCAGGGATTGGCGAGAGGCTATGCCAAGTTTATGGCGCATTCATACGCTATGGGCCGCGACGTCGTCCTCGAGCTCCTCCAGCGCCGCGCCGCGCCGCTGTCCTGGAAGGCCTGGAAGCCAAGCCGCTTACTCCGCTGGAGTCCTCCTGGAGCCTCGCAGCCGCGTGCAGCTGGAGAGCTGGAGCCTCACGACCCTAAAGCCATATGCTCTCCCCGGCCAGGTATAAAGCAATCGTCCGAATGCATCACCCGAGTTCCCCCGCCACGCCACGCCGCGCCACGCCGCGCCACGCCACGCCCGCACGGCCCTTCGTATTGGTTTTCGATTACGCATCACCATACACCAAGACAAAGGCCCCGAGCGCCATCTCCAAACTGAATGTGACTCCGTCTGTGTGTGTGCGTGTGCGTGCGTATTGCTGGAATCCTTCCAATTGTTTTTCAGTCCCCTCCGGTCCAAGACGGAGTGCTGGCGGCTGGGTCTGCCGCCTAGTGCCGCCTAGCGCTCCACGGCCGCGCCATCGGGCCTCGCTAATGTCCCTAGCCTCCCCCGCGCGCCTCGCCGCGCCTCGCCTCGCCAGCAGACTGATTCCGAGAGTCGTTTTCGCGCATCTGTCTCCCTCGGGCCTGTACGGAGCGCCCATGAGGGCGGGAGAGACAGAACAATCAGAACGACTCTCGGGATCGGTCTACATCCTCGCCTCGGCGACGGCCATAGGCAGCAGGGCCCACAACCACCCTGCAGACTGATTCCAAGACTCGTTTGCGTCGCTCTGTCTCTCTTGCACTCATAGGGCATCCTGTAAAAGTGCGAGAGAGACAGAGCGACGAAAAGGGCTCTCGGTGCAGCGAGCGGCATGCGCACTGTTATTCCCAGGGAATTCCTCGATCCGGGCCGATAATCGGTTAATTGCTCAGCTATTTAGCAGCTCTGCCGTTGCTGTCTCTCTCGCACTCACAGGGGCGGGGGGGGGGAGGCCGTCGGGGCGCTAAAGACCGCTTCTGAGAAGCGGGCCGCCTCTGTGCCAGCCCTGCCGGCCCAGGGCTGTGTCACGCTGTGTCACGCTGTGTCCCAGTGCCAGGCTGTCGAGCCATTCCGCCGCCCGCACTCTTCGCTCTGTCTCTCTCGCACCTGCGGCACACTCGGGCACACTCCACGAGTGAGAGAGAGACAGAGCGAGAGTTGTGGGGCACAATCGCTCGGCTGTCAGTTCACCGGCTGGCGCTGGGCCTCTGCAGTCCGGAAGTCACCTGGCCGAGTGATTCAGAAGATTCGTTTCGTCGCCGCGTCTCTGTTGCACTCGTGGGGCACTCGACTATGAGAGAGAGACAGCGCGACGAACCGCTCTTCTCAATCACTGGGCTGCACAGCAGCGCGTCAACCGTAACTTTCCTGTGTGCTGGCAGACACGTCCAAGAAATCGTTGGTCTCGTGGCTGACTTAGGACACTGTAAGTACTGGGTACAGCACGAGCACACTACGCTGCTTAGACGGCAGTCGTCCCAAAGACACCGCGCCTTGGACAAGGTTGACGTCATGTCATCCCCGAGACGACGAATCCCTGAATACCGATTCGGAGAGTCGTTTCCGTCGCTATCTGTCTCTCTCGCACCTACACGTCACGCCACAAGAGCGAGAGAGACAGGCGGTGTGCTGCCCCGTGGCGGAGCACGGCGAGACATCCTCGTGGACGCAGTGAGCCCCTGGCCCCTGAGTGAGCCCGATGTAAACATTCCAACGTGCTTATTCAGGAGGGGGAGGGGGAAGGTGTAAGGCCCACGAGGTGGTTATTTGTTTGGCAGCACTTGCAGCAAGGAAACATGTTCGGTGCGCCCAAAATCCGCGCGCCGTCCGAGCCGGCAACGTTATTTCGGGCGACGAGGGAGCGAAGAGCGAGCAGCCTGCGAGTCCTGCGAGCAGCGCGGAGCGAGCTAGCGGCCCGAGCCGCAGCGGCCGCACTGCGCGGCAACATAACCTCCAAACGCGACAGATGCTCTTTGTTGGCTTTCGTGTCTGTCGCGCCGCGCCGGCTTGCAAGTCCGCCAAACGGCTTCAATAATCGACTGTTCCACGACAGACTGCGCCAAATCGTTCCACACCGGGACCAACGCCGAGGTTTAGCATTGTCAACAAACCCGAGAGCGAAGCATCGTCGACGACAGGATTACTTTGAATTGTCGCAGGAACCCACCTTAAAAGCTGCTGTCGATGTGCTGTATCCGTTGGCGCAGGTGTGTAGATCCACGTTCCGACGGGAAACAACTTCCAACCGGCGCTGCGGCCGCACACACAAAACACAAAGAGGAGCAGGACCTTCAGGACCTCTCCGACGCGTATTTTTCCTCTCGTATTTCGAGATAGGATTTTCACAGCACACACACACAGCACAGGAGGTCTCCGAGAGGCACTCCGTCACTTCTCAGCGAGAAAGGTTCGCCACGGCCGCGTCGGCTTCGAGACGCACTGGAAAATGGCAACTCCACTGGAACGGCACTTCGCGAGGAAAGACGAGACGCGCAAGGGGCCCTCCTTCCACTGGAGCGGCTGGCCGCACACTGAACCGAACGCACCGCACCCCGCACCGCACCCCGCCACCCCACCCCCTCCACCGTCCTCCCCCACCACCCCCTGATCCCCAGGACACGCTCGGATCCCGGCCGAAGCGGCCGAAGCGTGGACTCGGGTGCCGAGCAGGGTCGCCACGCCGCCGCGCCGCGCCACGCCGCCCCGCCTCTTCGCGCCACGCGCACCGAGTCTAGGAAATGCAGCCCTCAGCACTCAGCACACCTCGGCACACCTGGAGGCCTGGAGGGCGCCACTGTCACAGTGTCACCGTGTCAACGCGGCGGCGGCCGCATTATTCGATAATCAAGCCAGAGAGAGAGAGAGAGAGAGAGAGAGAGAGAGAGAGAGAGAGAGAGAGAGAGACCCTTCTCCCCGGGGTAGGCTACGGAGTGGCGACGCGGTTCTTGTTTTGCTTCCGGGCGCCAGAATTAAAATAAAAATGGAAACAAGACACCTGAAATAAAAAATTGGCGATTCAAGGCTCCCCCTCGCCCTCTCGCAGCTTGTCGCCGTTGCCCTTGAGGTGGTGGAGTGGAGGGGTGTGCCTTGCACCTGATGAACCTGATGACAGAGAGCGTGGCCCGGGAACGGGGGGGGGGGGGGGGGGGAGGTCGCCGTCGAGGGGGTTGGCACCTACTCATTATCCCGTCGTTATGATCGAGGGGCGGGTTGCCCCGACACTGCACCCCCCCCCCTGCACCGCGGCCTGGATCGCCCCTAAGTGGACACTTGGCGCGGAAAACACCGCGAGGGCTAATCAGCAGCGCGGCGCCCGGCCCAGTTGTCGCTCCGTCTCTCTCGCACTCATGGCGCGTCCTGCACTGGTGCGAGAGAGACAGAGCGACGACAACGACTCTCGGAATCAGTCTGCTGTTGTTGTCAAGAGGTGTAGCCAGCGAGCTAGCCCTAATCCCTACCCACAGGGCGCGCTTAGCCGGGCTGGCCGCTGTGCCGCTGGACAAAACAGATCGACCACTACGCCCCTGTTGAATGGAGTCCGGGCGAGACCGTCCACGGCCAGGGACTCCAGGCCGTCGGCCAGGCCGTCCGTAGCCGTCCGGCTGGAGAATGACTCGTGCGACGTTGTCGGTTCGCGCGCCTTGCCGGGCGTGCCAGTGGCGTGCCTGCCTTTCCGGCGGCTCAGCGCGGCTCGCCTTGCCCGTCCTCGGCGCGGCTCGCCACGGCCCGGCCCTTCCCGCGGGGTGGCGCGGGGGGCGGCGGGGCGCGCTGGTCCACAACCCGACCCCGCCTACCCCACCCCCGCCCGCCGGTTAAAAGTCAACATCTGTGCCGACGTGTGTCCGGGGTCCGGGGGTCCTCCGGCGGCGTGGCGTGGCGTGGCGTGGCGTGGCGGGCCCACGTGTGCAGTCAAGCAGTGCAGCAAGCAGGAAGGCATTCCAGCCTGCTGAACCGTCTGGAAATGTTTGCACACTTCGATGCGACTTCAAGAACGGCATTCGCCTACACTGCGATCATTATATTGGACCATTGCGCACGGCGTCGGTTCATGCGTTCCGGGCCAAAGGCGGGCCCTGGAGTCCAGGGTTCCTGTGACGCTCCCGTCGCAGTATTCCAGTCAGGCTCCGGGGCCCTGGAGTCCAGAGTTCCAGTGACGTTTCGTTTCAGTGTCCCAGTCATGCTCTAGATCCCTGGAGTCCAGATTTCCAGTGACGTTGTGTTCCAGTATGGCTCCAGGCCCTGGAGTCCAGGGTTCTAGTGACGTCCCCGTCTCAGTGTTACATACAATCAGGCTCCAGGCCCTGGGCTCCAGGACTCCAGCTCGGCCCGACGACTGCCTCGTAACTCACAGTGCGCTCGCTCCCCTGATTTACTTGTTTTAGCGCCCGCTGCGTCGTCGACGTCGTCGTCGCCCAGGCCCGAGTCCGAAGGCCTGATCGAGGCCTAGATACAGAAAACCCGTCCCGGTGCCCTACCCAGAATGCCTTGCGCGCACGTGCGTGTGTGTGTGTGTGTGCGCGTGTGTGTGTATGTGTGTGCGCGCTCGGTGTGTATGTACGCGTGTCGTGCCGCTGGGCTCCGGCATGCAGTTTGATTTGGGCCCCTGTCCCATTCATTGACAGCGGGGGCACCAGCGCATGGCCGGCATTGCATATTGAATGCGCTCATGACGTTTACGGACGGCGCGGCAACGTGCGGCACGGCCGCGGACAGGCAGAATGACACGTAATGAAGTCGCGCGGTGAACGACGTGCTCACGGCCGTGGCCACCGGGGCCGGCCGCGTGCTGCCGGCGCTGTGCACCGCCAAATTCACCCGCCATTGATTTAAAGTGCCCTGGGGGCGCGCGCACACCACACACACACACGCAACACGCACACGCAGGCACAAATACACGTGCATGGCGTGGCAGGTGGCGCCTCGGCCGCCGCGTCCGCCGCGTCATCGGGCCCATCGGGGCGACGGGACAGATCCGCGGCCGTCCATCAGGGCCCTGCAGGGGGCGGGGGCCGCGGGGGCCGCGGGGCCGCACTGCCAGTGGCGTGGCAGTGGGGACGCAGTGCTGCCATTCCCAAAGCCGATCGCATGTAGGATCGGATTGGGGGAGAAAAAGAGAAACGACGCCGGGGTGGGGGAGGAGGGCCTGTACTGCTGCTGTCCCATACACTTGGCGTATAACGGATCACCGCATTCGTCATTTTCGCGTGTATGTGCCGCCATGCCACGCCATGCCGCCGGCCGTGCGGGGGACACGCTGGCTCTAATATAAAGGGCAGCTCCACCCTCCGCTGTCCGTCCAGCGGGCCGAACGGCGCTTTCGTCTCCCTGTCTCTGTCGCACTCAAGGGTCATCCCGAGGAGGTGCGAGAGAGACTGAGCGACGAATGTCCATTCGGCATCAGCCTGCCGAGGGCGCCGAGGGCAGTGAGGCAGGACAGTTTGGCAGGTCAACCAGCCAATCAAGCGGCAGCGCGGCGCCCGGCCAGTCTTCCTCGCGAGCCTCGATAATTCTCGAAAAAGTCTCGCTTCCGGTGGCAGGGCCCGGCACGCCCGGCAGGGCCATTCCTCGAGGAAGTTGGAGGGCCCTCTCCGGCGCCTGCCGAGCGATTCAGAAGGGCCGTTTCGACGCTCTGTCTCTCTCGCACTCATGGGGCTCTCCGTGCGTGCCGTAAGGGTGCGAAAGAGACAGAGCGACAAACCGATGTTCCGAATCGCTCGCGGCTTGGCGCGGAAACTTGCCCAGTGCGGGGACTGGGGCCGCTTTGTACTCGGGTTCTCGTTCATTCCGAGCCAGTCCGTCTTTTTAGCGCTGGAGCAGACCAAGGAGACCCTCTATTGGCACCTCCCGACCTCGCATTCCATTCATGTGCGGCGCTCCTCGGGGAACACTCCATAAGGGCCTGTCTGTCGAGGTCCCCAGCTTCCAGTGTGCTTCCAGCGGACGTTCTTCATTAGTCCGTGCGTTCCAGTGGCGCTCCAGGGACTCCAGCGGGCTGATTCCGAGAGTCGTTTCTATCGCGCTGTCCCTGTCGCGCCGACGCGGGGCGCCCCGTGAGTGCGAGAGCGACAGAGCGACGACTCTCGGAATAAGACTCCGGCAGCTCCAGGACGCCCCCGGGCCGGGGCCCCGGGCCAGGAGACGCTCGGGAACCAATGGCGGTCACGACTCGGGCCACATAAATCCCAGACGCATCCAGGGCGCGTCGCGTAGCGTCGCGGCGCCGCGAGAGGCAGCCACGGCCTGCAGCACGGCCTGCAGCCCCGCGCCCTATGGGGGAATCGGAGTCCGGGGCCGGGGAGTGCGGGTGGGAGTGCGGGCGGCCGCCGAGTCGGATCGCGGCGTCGCGGCCCGGCTTGGCCCTTCCCGAGGCCCTTCCGGCTTCGCGACAAATTTAAACCCAATGTCGCCCCGGTAAATTGCGCTGTCGCATTCTTCCCCTTGTCGGGCCGAGGTCGAGGCCGGGGCCACATCGGGGAGGCCCAGCGGGATCCATCCCTTTCCCCGCCGCGCGCGCGCCGCTATGGCGCCGCCGAGGCCGTGGAGGCCGTGAACGTGGTGCTTGCCTGCCGTCTTGAATCAACCGGCTCCAACCAGCCACCCGCACCCGGAAATTAGGAAATTCCATTTCCGGCCTCCGGGCCGGGTTCCCGGAAGTTGCCGGATCTTGAGCCCCCGCCCCGCCACTGTGCCCCGCGCGGCCAGCCCCCTGACGCGGCGGGGCCGGGCTGCAGTTCTGGGCTTGAATGACGCTTTTTCTATTTATAACGTAGGTTCGTGTGTCGCTGGCCCACTCGATGCCGCACGGCGTTTCCTGGCGCCGACAAAAGACCTGCAACTCATTTGACAAACGGCGTATCGCTCTGTCTCTCTCGCACCTACCCGACGCGCCGCAACGCCCCGCGAGCGCGAGAGAGACAGAGCGAGAGACAAAGACCGCCGTCAATGAGGCGATAACGGAGAGCGGGGCCTGAATGCGTCCGAAGGCGTAAATGAGGAGAAACTCGGGAAAGAGTGATTCGACTTTCCAACTTAAATCCTTCGTCACTCGATCAGGGCTGCTCTCTTTTTCTTTCGGCCCGCCGGAGCGTCATTTGTCCTTCAGCCCTTTGCGCCCTCAGCCCAGCGCCGCCCCATGGCAGCCCCCCACTTCGTCGCTCTGTCTCTCTTGCACTCGCAGCGCGATCCATGAAGCGCGAGAGAGACAGAGCGACGAGACGATGTGCGGAGTCTGCTGCCAGCCGAGGGTAGCCAATTTGGTCCGGAGGCTGGTGCGAGGCTAGTCGCGGAGGCCTGTCGCGAGGCTACACCGCGGCTCAGCCCCCCAAGCCCCAAGTCATCTCGCAGGCTTCCGCCCTTGCCCGCCCGACTCGGCGATCCGCTGGAAGTCCCTCAGATTGGAGTCCATTCTTTCGTTTCGACTGCCCCGGCCTCGGCCCCGGCCTCGGCCCCGGCCCGATTCCGAACGTGGCTGTCTTTCTCGCACCCCTGCGGGACGCCCCACGAGTGCGGGAGAGACGGAA